ATATAGTCAGTAACACGAAACCAAGCTATCATCCTTCTCGCCCGGGCCTCCCTCTGGTGGTAAACCAAGTGAAAGCATAGCACGAGTATCATCATTAGGAAGTACAAGAGGAATCTGGCGATACCTATAGAGCCTAGAAGAGAAAGGCCATGGCCATTTAGCCTTCCATACCAACGTACTGCTACCATCATCTTCCTTCTCGTCCTCCTTTCTCGCCCCTTCGAACGTAGAATCCCATGATGCCCTATTGTCTATGTCAACATTAAGGGCATGGAACTGAGCGGGGGTAACTGCAATATCGCCAGTCATCATCCATTGTGCCGTCGGACTCTTCCCTCCTGTAGTCAGCAGCTCCTTACGCCATATCGTACAAGTGTATTGACCATCCTTCTCGAGATGTTTGAAACGTTGCCACCCATGCGAAGGGAGATAGACATCAGGGTCAGTAGCCATCTCATCAGACACTAATGACAATACGTCATCGAGCAGGGAGTGGACTCGAGGAGGTAAGGCCATATCACTGGGTATATCAAACTCCTCCTTGAGCCCTCTATAGCTAGATCCTTCTACATTATCTACAGGCCGAGCGGCTGCGTAGTCTTCCCCCACTGTGCTACTCTGTATACCCTCGGTACAATCAAGTTGGGTAAGAACCTCACGTGAGGCATGCAGCCCCCGATCGAGGACATCCCCAGGTATGGAGACCTTATCGGGAGGTGTTGTAACAGGAGGGAGGTGTACTCCCTTAGATGGCCAAGGTATGACTTGCCACATAGGCAGGAATGACATGTGTACTGGTGCCTTCAACAGCGCTGGTGGAGCAGGCATGGCCTCTCCACCCCGTTGCATCCGCTCTAATGTTAGTGAATCGCGACTATCACCGCCGTCCATGGCACTCCCTGAGCCACCCTCTACGGCGTTGTCCTTTTTCATATCCTCCCAGATCTCATGAGTAACCAACGCTGCCGCTATCACCCCTAATAGGAGCTTTTGCCGTGTAGATGGTTTACCC